AACAGCTATAGGGCAAGATTTTGAGTGGCCCTGAAGCCAACAGATTAGCATAAAACTAGGTATAAAAAACACATGCATCAGGTAACCAGCAGGAAGGAGGGAACAGAACGGTCATTTCTGTCCCACGCCTGGACCCCGGACTCCCGGTGTGAGTGAGGATCGGATCCTGAGCAAGGGCCCTTCCCCGGTAAGCCCTCTGACAGCGTTGATCTTCAGGGATGCCTGACTTCGCTGGAACCACTTGGCGCGCACCTGGCATTGAGGGACTATCGATAAGTTGCCAACCCATGTCTGTCTATTTGTTGTTTTGAACACCCCAGTGTGGCTAATACCCTCACAGTGCCCAGTTGGCCTGTGACAGATTGATCTATCTATCTATCTATCTATCTATCTGTTATTATTATCTGTTGTTATTATTTTACTATTAGCTCTTTTGTATTGCCTTATCTGCTTATCGCATTTATCTTTCTGTTAACTGTTGTGTGTGTGTAAGCTATAATAAATTTGCCTTTATTCCACTCCCAACTTTGCCTCCTCGATCCAAAATTGATACACTCACAGTGCCCAGCTGGCCTGTGACAATGGAAGACAGGTTAAAAATATAATCTTCTAACTAAAAATAAATGTGAAAAGTTACCATATTTTTTCATGAAAACACTGGCTTTTCCACTGCAGACGCACTGGAATATTTTCCCTAATTAATGAGAATGATTTCTGGGCTCCTTCTTCTCATGGCAAAGGAAAGTGGGTTGGAAATTATTAAACCTGAAATAACCTTATCCTTAGCCACCAACATGGCAAAAGTAAATAAAAGCTTTAAAAAATTCTATAAAAGTTAAAATAGTTAATTTATGAATAAAGAATTGAAACCAGGCCAGCAATTTAGTCTTTGCACCTGCTGGCTGTCACAAATTTTAATAAAAATTAAGTTTTAAGCCTTCATATTTGCAATTATAACTGCTTATGAAAGAGTGCACAATTCCTGTCCTCTCCCTCCCCTCCCCATATTATAACCCGGGACTTGTAGGGAATTAAGACTAGAAGTGCTTGCTCTAACCTCTTGCTTGTAGTCCTGGCCCACACGTTTCATGTGCCCCTGGGCTGTCTTGGCGAACATTCCATGGTACTAGCTGGCATCTGCGCCATTTGTGGGTCTTCCACCTGAAACAAGGAAAGCAATAAACTGGAAACAATTCATCTAAATTAATATTTGCCATAAGAAATGGGAGTAATTGTTTATTTACTATTCTTAAGCAATATTAACCACAACAAAACATAGTATGCAAAGAACTTATTCTTTCCCTCTATGCTCCACTTATTGTGCTCACTAGTTCTATGAGAGTTGCAGGTGCTTAACACTTCCTTTTATTTGTAAGGGTCTCTGGAAGCTGGCCATGGTTTTCTTTACATATCTGAAAGCACTGAAAACAGAACTCATCATTAACAAATATGTAGTGAACATATCAACAACAATCATATCATTGCTAGGATTTGTGTAAGTTCACTTTGTCTTCTACTTTGAAATTTTACCTCAAATTCTGCTGCATTATGTCCAGAAATATTGGTGCCTGAGACAAGTATTTCTTAGGGAAGGATTTTTTAGGCAAAGAGTTTCCAGGTCATTTAAGGAAGAATGCCTTGTATTTGAAAGCTTGTCTAACTCTCTCCCAATTACACAGTTGTTCCAATAAAAGATATCACCATAAGAATTCCTCTTGCATAATTTATGGACTATCATGCCTAGAGCATAAATCTTACATTACTATAGCTATGTTGGTATCATTCTGATCATATTTAGTATTATTCATAGTACATAATGGTCATGATTTGTGCAAACACCTTAATTTAATGAAAGAGCTCCTTCTGTATGATTATATGCTGAGAGCATATTGCTATTAGTGATTAAAAGTCCACAGTCTACTGATAATGGAAAATGTTGGAGGGAGACACAGAGGGTTATAGCTGAGTCAAATTATGCATTTTAGCATATTCTTTGTGTGGAAATGCTGGATAACATTTTTAACTGGATTGCATAAACCAGTACAGGGTCCAAAATAACCTAATTTACAGGATTAAAGGTAGCCCCTCTACCCAGAAAGATGATGGACACCTTGCTGAATGACTATACTGAGATGTCACCAAAACAACCATCTGGTGTCACTGACTTGGAATAATTCTCTAGTCTGATGAGTTTAAGAGGGGTTTTTCTTTCCTGCACAATGATATGGAAATGGCAAAGAGAGAACATTATTTGGAGGGAGGGGGTTGAAGATTGCCAAGCTGAACACAGAGAAGAGCAGAGCTTGGCTATATATAATGGGGAAAAGGGGTTGGGCGGGACAGTCATTGCCACATGTACACCAGTAAGCAAATTGTCAGACCAAATGCACTCCTCAGAACGTATACTGAAACAACTTGCAAGAATGGGAGAGCAATGCTTTGTCTGAAATACTGTTTTAAACAAAGTACATTTTACCCTCATTGAATCAATTGCATATTTAATTCAATTATCAACTAAATTTCTTCTGTACCAACAGAATTTATGTCTAGATTGCCCCGGAAGTGCCTAAAAATCCCAAATATTGGGCAGGATGGCTACTGTCCCAATCCTGTTGTAATCAAAAGTGACATGAGTGTGTGCTGGGGAGAGGGACAGGAGGAAGTTATATATTTCCAAAAGATGACCCACACTGCCAAACCATGAGCTTTGGTGTTTAGAGTGATCCAAAATTGCCAATTCATGCTAGATACTCCTTTTTCATAAGCTTCAACTTTCAGTGTAATTTGCCCTACCCTATACTGGTACCTGAACTGAAGCAGAAGTAGATATAAATGATGATGTTAACACTTCCTAGGAAAAAGTTTTAAAATGATATTCCCTACCATTTGGAGTGCTGAAGTTTAGCCACTTCAAGAACTGTACACCCTCATATATTTTTTCAGCTAGGAACATCACAATCTGCTGATGGACCAGATGTCATAATTCAGATGAATGAGAAATGTTAAAAAAAAATCAATGTAATATAGTGCTTTTATAATTTCATATATTACTGGGGCTGGCTGGGGCTGCGGACAGAGGCTTCTCTGGCTTGTCTTTGTGACAGTCCTGGGGTGGGCTGGGGCTGGCCTGGTGCTCGCTGGAGCAGACAAGCATGAGCCAAGACTAGTGTGCTGTTCTGTGAAGTCAGGCTAGTGAGGACCCCCGAAGCAGCCTGGGATGCTGGGGGACTGTGACCTAAATTGAGTTGGGAAGAAATCTGGTACAGAAGTCTGATAGACCAGCCTAACCTAAATTGCTTAAATCTGATACTACATCCATCCAGATCTACCTTAAACTGCCATTTTTGTCTATGTGCACTGAATTGTTCTGTTACAGATATAGACCATCTTTTAATCACTTATACCAGTTTGTGTGTAATGTGTACCTGGCCATAGCTGCTGCAGAAAGCTGATTTCCATATGAGGATCTATTTTTTTTAAGACCTAAAGAGATGTGAAATAGGAGAAGAGACCAGGAGTACTGGCAGATGGCAAAATTGTCCTGATATGAGTTAACTTGATTAGTAGAACATAAAAACCATTACAAAGGAAAGACCATTCTTAAATACTTCTGGTTTAAAGAACAATGAGCCATTAAGTTAATTGATTCCCTCAGCTATCTGAATAGTAATAACAGAGATGCTGCACTGTGTAGCAAAAATCTGAGTAGGGCGCTTCTATTCTGAATAGAAAATCAGCTTCCCCCCTTAATATGTGTACCCCAATTGTGTGGGGCTGATTTTTCAGGAAAGGGTGTGTATCGTATATGAGAAAGTATGATATGTTCTGAATCAAACATTTTTCCTTAAAATGAAATATTTTATAAAATATTTCCCAAATAAATCAAAATATTCTTGTGTTACTTAAAAGTTTCAAACATGAGGGGCTGGATCCACCTGTGCACTATGACTGCTGTGCACTGCAATGGTACAGCAAAACAGCCTAAAGCTTAGCTTAACCAATTACTTAAGGATGCACTCTGCTTAGGGGATCCTTGGATGACAAAACGGCTGTTATAGTGGCTTCTACACTGACATACTAAAGTCTGAAGGGGCAAAGGAATGGTCAGGGAAAGGGAATAAAGCCAGAAGACTCTTGTATCCTGGCAATCCCCACCTCCTAGAACGGTCCCTTCAGTCCACTGCTATATTGCATTCTGTCTGTGAGGGGAGTTAGTTGATGACTAGTTTTACTTTGCAAGGGACTGAGATGAAATTGGAAATTTAAAACTTCTTTTGTGTGTACACATTTCCTAAGCTGTTGTGTAATTCCCTTTCTCTTTACAAGCTGTCACCCTCTGTCACGGAATATGGTGCATTTCAAGGGGACTATATGTGTTTAGTTTGTGAGGCCTTCTGGGATAATTTAGAAAGAAAGTTTTACAATTTGCAGCTAATCTACAGCACTCACAAAGGATTACTAAGTGATAAGTATTCAACCTCCTAAAATTTAGTAACTAAAACAGTTGATATTTTAGTGTGCTTTACATTTAGCTGCAAAAGTCAAAGCTGCGTGATTAGAAATAGAGCACTGGAGTAAATGAATTATGGATGGATTCCAGATATAAACGAAGCAGAATGTTAATCACTGAGTCAAATACAAGTACAATGTAACCCCATCAAAATCAATGAGATTTAATCTACGTTAACTTGGCCGAAAGTGGGTCTATTTTACCTAAATTTCCAGTTCATCAGGCTTTGCAAAAGCTGTATGCTAAGCACAGTTCTCTTAATTAGTTAGCATTACCTGTAGGTATAGCAGACAGGGGGAGCTTCACATTCCCTCTCCTCAAATAATGCATCTGGGCACTCACGGCCACCATTGGAAGGGAGCTGGATGATGACACGATGGCAAGACTGCTTCTTTACTGTGGCAACCCCTGCAAAGAGTGGAATATTTTGGTTCCTTTCCACTCACACACCAAGGATTTCTAGAATGATGATTATACTGCGATCACAGTAATTAAGAAAAAATAATGTATTAAACAATTGACTCTATTGATGGTCAAGTTATTTTGACCATGACAGAAAAAATTTCAATTAGCAATAATCGTGCCTTGGATTAACCTCATTGGCTACGATACTGCCACTCTACTCCTACACTTTGATTTTAGCCAAAAGATAAAGAAGCAGAACTGCACTGCTTTCAAACACAATATTAATGCATACAATGTACAAGTTAACAAAATGTTAGCAAGGCTTGATATTCTACTATAGTGTACACTTTTACAGATTACTTAGTCCCTAAAATTAAGAAACAGAATTAGAAATAGTATGTAATGTAGCAAATAATTGAGTCCTAGAATTTTCCATTCCCTAAATAACAGAATAACAAAATCTAATTGCTTTTCCCTTATCTTCACACCCAGCAGTTAGATGGATTTAATTTATGCATTTGTTTTTGTCCAGGGTTTGTTTTAATGCCATTCACTACACACTTGCTTCCCACGTGGGACCCATATTACCCTATCTAGATATAGAAAGAACTTTCCGAAAGAGCAAATCTAAATGTGAAGTTTTATTTCCTGGCTCTTGACTTAATTTACTGTTCACATGTTTTAATTATTATAGCTATTTATTATTCATGATAAATAAATTATTCCAGGCAGACTTGATTTGAATCATATTCCAAAGATCAGAGCTATAGGCAGAAAATGAGAGAACCATCATTCTGTAGTCACTCTCAGAACAAGTTATTTAATTTTAAAGATACTATAATCTAGCAGTTTTAAACTAAAAAACTGGCTTGTACAAATAGATTTAGAAAACCTAATATGGATAAATTGTTGAAATATGATTATAAGCCACAACTGAGAATAATACTTAATGGATCTGTTCTGAGATGTACTAGCTGAGCTAGTAACAGCCACAAATGGCTTATTAAAGGATCTGAAGCTTGGCTAGACATGGAGATTCCTAGGCACTCTCCAACACCAGTGATTGAGAGGGAATGGTAGAGGAGCCACTAAAAAGGATCCTGTCACTGCACTATTCAGTAAAACTGCCATAACAAAAGCTAAGATCTGGCTCCCAAAAGGCAAGGAAGAACTGAAACCCAAGGGTTCTACTGACAGAATCAGCTGGAATTAGTAAATATTTTGAAGCAAACATTGCTTGCATAGTATTGAAGCACTATTTGGCTCGTTGAGTAGAAATGTTATTTGTGCTCTTCAACAGATTTGCCACCTCATTTGCCCATGCCCGTTATTTGCATTCAGTCTGTCTCAATTTGTAGTGCATATACTTTACTGCATTAAGAACCCTCTTTAAAATAATGGACATAGAACAAGACAGTTGTGCATCTTTGTCAGAAAACAACAGATCCTGAAGAAGCATCTCAGTAAGAAATTAATAATAATGCCATGAAGTAACTGATTTCATGTTTTAAGCCATACACCCAATGTTTCATGCTGTCAAATTGATTGGTTCCAGCTTTGTTTCCTTTTTATTGTTTATACATTTAATCTTAAATCCTTTATTAGTTGTAAAAAGGTCTAATCACTAATTGGAAATTCCTTTAAAGTGCCTTTATAATTGTATCCTTAGGAGAACATGGAGAATTGAGCGTGAGATTGAAAGAATATATATTTAATAGATACACAGATTGTTAGGGGCTGGTAAGGACCTTGTAGATCATCGGGTCCAGTCCCCCTGCTCTAGGCAGGAAAAGACAACTGGGGTCAAGTGACCCCAATTAGGTGTCTGTCCAGTCTCCTCTTGAAGATTTCTAGGGTAGGTGACTGCACCACCAATGGAGGGAGTTTATTCTACAGTCTGGACACCCTGAATGTAAAGGAGTTTTTCTGGAATTGAGCCTGAAGCGGCCTTCCAGGAGTTTGTATCCATTGCTCTTGGTCTTCCCCAGGGGTGCCCTGGTGAACAGTTGTTCACACATTCTTGATGTACTCCCCTAATGTAGCAGTAAACTGCTACCAAGTCCCCTCTCAGCCTCTTCTTCTGTAGGCTGAAGAGGCCCAAGTCACTCAGAATCTCCTTGCATGGCTTGTCTTGCAAGTCCCTGATCATATAGGTAACTCTTTTCTGGACCCTCTCAAGTTTTTCCAAATCCTTATTGAAGTGAATGTCCAGAACTGGATGCAGTACTGTTGCTGTGGTCTCACCAGTGTGGAGTACAGTGGGAGTATCACTTCCTTAGTTTTGCATGAGATGCAACGGTTAATGCATACCAACGTGTTGTTTGCCCTGCTGGCCACAGCATTGCACTGCCGGCTCATGTTCATGAGATGGTTGATCACTACCCCTAGGTCCCTTTCGGCCATGGTGCAAGTCAAATTGTTGCCACTGAGCCTGTAGGTATGTTGGGGATTGTTTGACCCCAGACAGAGCACCTTACACTTCTGAGTGTTGAACTTCATCTGGTTTTGGTCTGCCCAGCTCTCCAGCCTATCCAGGTCTGCCTGTATCTGCAACCTATCTTCTGGCATGACCATGCTCCCTCATAACTTGGTGTTGTCTGCAAACTTGGCCAGTGAGCTTTTCACCCCCACATCCAAATAATTGAGAAAGACGTTGAAAAGCACCAGTCCAAACATGGACCCCTGAGGGACACCACTGGCCCTGATGGAACAATCTCATACTTTTTCGTTTTATAAGTGGCTCTCAGTAATCACCATGTCTTATAGAAGGATTAACATACATAGAACATGGAATTACATTATTGACTCTCTCTCTCTCTCTCTCTTTGCATATTATATGGATACCTCCCGTCATGCTTAAGTAAAAAAGGGGGGTAAGGCAGAAACACCTGGACAACACTAATTCAATCAATGCTTTTGCTCAAACTATAATGTCAATACAAAAAATATTCTAAGAGCTTTACGGTGTTCAATTTTCTTGTAAAAATGTTGACAAACACATTGAGGCCTTCTAGTGTATTTTTAATTCAAACCCTTAACATAAATTTGAATGTTGGTTATTTTAAAAGTTAAACTTCCTTTGATAGCTTTTAAAGTACTATTAAAGGGAGCAAGAGATGAATCTCCTGCTGCTAATGTAGATTTTAATGTAGAACTTATGTGTTAACACCTTTGGGGGTAGTCAATACAGTCTATCATATGCATTTTTTAAATACAACAAATTCCATCCTTGAATGCTCAAGCTCCTCCAACAAAATCAAAGAAAATAGCATACATGCATCCAAAGGCAAAATCTGTCCTGTTAGGTAATCATATAATATTGTATTAGCTGCACAATATGATGTTATAGCAATGAATTCATATCTGTTGTATGGCTCATTACTGATTGAAAATGGCAGATCCAAACAAAATATTATAATAAAAACCCTGCAGCAAGAGAAAAAAAAAAAGAACTGTTAAAGGAAATACTTGAGAATAGCTAAAAAAGAAAATGTGGGAGTGTCTGCCCATGGGCCACTAAGACTGGCAGCTGTAAGTACAATGTTACAATGGATTACATACGGTTTTAAGTAGTGGAAAATGTTCTGTTGCTCAGAACAAATGATCATGTACTATAGAAAAGGTGTCAAAGATCTGGCCTGTGTAGCCCTATCATCTCTCTTATGATGGTGCCTGTGGGTCTGGGAGTGGGCCCACATACTTCAAGCAGTGCATGCTGGACCCCAATCCAACCTGCAGACCAGCTCTGTAACCCAACCCAGCACACAGGGCCCGATAAGCTTGACACTCCTATACTATAGCAAATGCTACTTCATCTAATCTTTGATCTAGTTCTGAGAAAGAAGGGAAACCTCTAAGGTAGTGATTCTCTGCCAGGGTGTAATGACCCTGGGGTACCATGAAACCCTTAAGGGAGCTGCAGGTTGCCACACAATATTAGCACAATTTGGTATGGAAGCACCTATACCTGATGAACAAAACAAACCCAAATACTTCAAGTGGGAATCCATTGTGTCAACAACATTCTGACCTGTTGTTGTCTTTGAATTCTTTGCAACAGAAGAATTGCTCTATTCTTTTTCTGTAGTCAAAAATGAGTAAAAGCTAAGAGCTGGCATTTTCTGAGAGTGTCTTTAGTCAAATGAAGGGTGTCTTGCATCTAAAAAGGTTGATAATCACAGCTTAAGGGAAAGAACAGACCAATACCAATCTATCAGAAATCAGTACAGTGTCTATCTAAGAATGTGTGGTGGGGAGGTTTATTTCTATTTGACTTTTTGAAAGTCTGTCAAGTGATAGACAGTAAATCATATTACCTTCTTGACATGAAGAAGGACATGGTGTCCACTCACTGAATGGTGTCACAATACAGTCTTTTCTACAAGGAAGCAAACAAGGCCTCACTGCTTCTGGTCGAAGGTTTTCAGGGCATCTAGAAAAAGGAAATGCACATAATAAAATGAAAGATCATTCTCTAACAGGGTCCTGACATGCGACCTATGCCAGAAACCTACAGATGCTGCACAGGAGCTGTAGTTGTTCATACTTCCTTTGGTTGGGCTCAGAGCTAGAATTTCTTAGCATTTAAATGAATTCCTCTAAATTTGTGAATGTTATACAAGGTTCTAGGTGCATGAGTAGAATTAGTGGACATTTTGGCAAGGACCCCCTATTGTGCTTTTGCAAATATAAGGATTAGAGTTACCCTTTACAAACAAACAAACAAACAAACAAACAAACCAACCCTGCAGTTGGGAAGCAAATATTTTTTATTACCGTAACAGAACAAAATAATCACGGAATGAACGTGGAATTTGGGGAGCTTGAGAAAACTAATTTAACAGACTTCTTAGCATGACTCTTAAAATCTACAATTTAGGCATGATTTATAGTTAGACCTTGTCTACACCAGAAAGGTTTTCCAGTATACCGATACCAGTAAAGCCTTTTAAGGAAAGAGATGGCTTATACAAGAAAAAACCCTGGTTTTACTGAATTAACTAATACCATTTCCCAAAATAAGCAAAAATAAACTGTACCAACAGAAGGTTTGTTAATTGTCCCCAAATCACTCCTACCTAAAAGAAAGTCACCAGGTTCATAATGCTGGGATTGCTTCATGTACCTACTCTGCAGCAAGAACACTGTTTTGCAATTCCTGGTCATACCCTTTACTGGGATGCATGGGAATTTTTTGTTATGAAGTCATGGTTTTGCACACTTG